CCATCAGCGAGGAACCCATTTCGTTCCACTGTGAACCCATGCCGCTGAACACCCAGACAATGGGTCGTTTTAGACCGGTATAATGTTGCACATCTTTGACCAGGGCCTTGGTGGGTTCCACGCCGTTGTTGGCAAATATTCCATAGCCGCGAAACACCATGCCGGAAACATCTTCCTCCTGAATATGCTGCAAGAGTCCTATAAACTCAGCATCCAAGGGTTTCTTTTCGATTGCATTGAAAATCTCATTAACAGCATCTTCTGTTCGGCCAGCCCAAGTCAGAAGCCTGGGTAGATTATCTTCAGGCAAGCCGAAATTTACCTTTGTCTTGGGATATGCTTTCAAGATGGCATGGGCATTGGCACCACCAAAACCGAATGAGTTAATTCCGATGTAAGGCTTTGGCAGAATAGTGCAATCCTTAACCACAATTAAACGACCCTCCGAAAGTGCCGTAATTGACGGTTTCACTTCGGTAAAGTTAATATTGGGCGGAATCACGCCGGTTTCGAAAGCCAAGCAGGCTTTTACCAGAGAACAGATGCCAGATGCGGCTTCCGAATGTCCAACATTTGACTTAACAGAGCCCACGAGCAATGGTTCATTGCGTTGGCTGCAGAGCACATTGTCAATTGCCTTGCACTCTTCCGGATCACCCACCACGGTTCCAGTGCTATGGGCTTCCAAATAGCCCAGATCATTTGGTGTCACATCAATTTCCTGGTAGAATTCTAGAAGCAGTTTCTCTTGAACCTTGCCCGAGGGATAGGTAATGCCCTCCGGCTTGTAACCGTCACAGTTGGTTTTCGAGTAAATGACACTTGCGTAGACGCGCTTTGCATCTCGCTTCCTTTGCAGAAACATGCAGTTGATTGTCTCGGAGCGCGTGTATCCACTTGCATCTTTGTCGAACGGGCGACAGAAGCCATCGGGAGCCAAAACACCAAGGCTAAAACAAGATATAAGTATATTCCATACGGAATATGGAATGCCATTACGATTCTTACCGAGCAAACTGAAGCGTCACGAAAGGATGAAGCAACAGATTGGAGCCACCAATAATTGCGGCGTCAATTTCACCATTCCGAAGTGCACTAAACGCATTGTCCAGGGCATACATTGAACTGGAGCAAGCCGTGTCAAGCAAAAACGATGGACCCTCCAGGCCCAAGCTGTAAGAAATTCGATTGGCCAACATGGCTCGACTGCAACCGGTGATGCCAAAACCACCAGATGACACCTTCTCATAGAACCAGGTTTTCTCCGATTCGGATATACAGGAACCAACATAGACGCCCGTCTTAGTGCCACGCAAACTTTTTGGATTTATGCCCGCATCAATGACCGCCTCGTACGCCGTCTCTATCAATATACGTGTTTGCGGATCCATGGTATGGGCTTGCTTAAAGTGCACCCCAAAGAATGTGGCATCGAACTTTTCCAGATTGCTGATCTTTCCAGAGCGCTTGGGTATCTCCGGATTGAAGTGACGCCAACGACGCTCATCGTCATCTACCATGTCAATCTGATGCAAAGTAAAGGTTGCGAATCAAAATAATGAGTTGAGCTTCGATTGCGAAATCGTTGGTTCGAGAAATGTAAACTTTGTTCTTTGAAGTAAACTATTTTTTTCATGGCAAATTTATTTTCTAATTTATATTCAATAGCTTGGTGCCTTGAGAAAGTTTTAAACAATTAAAATTTTGTGTTTTTTTTTTTGTAAAGAAATTTTGATTTGTTCACCATATTAAAGAAGAATAATGCGGGAAGTATTGCTCATGATATATCTAGAAAAATGCGAAATACACGAGAATAGTTCTTATTTGGATGCACAGTTAAGCAAAATAAGCTTAATTATTTCGATTTTAAATTTCAATAAATATATTTCTATTATTTTCAAGTGTTTGTAATAAGCTGTTGTATTTTTTGTCGCACAAGTTGTTTTATTGTATGCATTGTTGTAACGAACCTTGTTATAAAGATTGTATTCATATTCCGTTATGTTTTTCGAGTTGGGAAATTTTCCGGCCATTCCGGAAATAACAATTTCATCACCATCGCTCTCAGGAAGAATTCTTGAGTATTTTTTGTGCTTTTTCAACAACATTTCGGTAGCCATTTAACAGAGTTTAAATCACTTGTTTAATTACAGGGATATTGTTGTTAAAAATTGTTTGATTATCCTTTAAGATTTATTTTCACTTTAACACTATTATAAATCACAATATGTTTTAGGCTTGCGTAATCCAGCGAGAGTGTGCGACCGAATTGCCACACAAACATCAATTAAACCCACAACTTTTCCACTAGCTGCTTTTATACACTTGCTAGGTGGGCATATTACAAATTCCAGAAGGAATAAAAATGGTGAATACTTTGACCACAAACACTCCCAAGTAATTAAAGTCAACGAATTGCATAAATAAACAGCTCATTTCGCGCTGCACTGTAAATTCAAAGGCTATCACATTTAAGGTGCACAAATCCAGGTAAGTTAATAATAAATGGCACGATTATTTAATATATATATTACACATAAATATCATTTTTAAGTTTTTCAATTAGAAATATGTACAAAATTTCATATGCTTTGGTCTTATTTTTTTCTTATTAAAATCTGGCAAAAACCCTAAAATCAATGGATTATGGGTGGAACGCCTGGGCTGGGATTTGCATAAGTCACACGTTTTCAAAGGCCGATACTCTTTGTCACTTTTCTTTCTTTTCTTTTTTTGCCATTACGAGAGTTCTAAAACCTCTAGCGTGTAACTCAATACCTGTAATACCACACACCCTGTATTTATATAAATTCCCCCTTATTTATATAAATTTCAACTAAATTTGAATAGGTCTTAAGCCTTGCGGTTCTTTTTTTAAATTAATAGATATTATTAGATACGAGTTGAAGTGGGCATAAAGGTTTGAGAACAGTAATAATATTGTTTAATATAAAATGAATGTATATTAAATTATGGATGATTTAAGTTTGGCTTGAGAATCCCAATCAGGACAAACTCAGCTCGTTTTTCATGCATTTCTTCTATGCGTAGAGTATTATTGGAACGACTGTGTAAGGTACAAAGCTGATTCCATGTTTTTCTTATTTTTTTTTTTTATTTTTTGTCACTGCAAATCAATCAAGTATACGTACAGATGTACGTATGTAGTTGCCCGTTTCGATGGGCTTAAATTTGTGTAATGCTTTCAAAGTTAATGAACTTGAACAAGCCGCTTCCACCGGCGAAATGCAAATCAATGAGTCGTTCGTTGAACTTCTTTAATAGAATGCGTATGCATATGCGACTGTTGCCAGTCTATAATAATATAATATACAATTTACATGCATATGCCAACACATGTTGCATTTTAAAAACTAGAAAGTATCGCTAGCAAGTTTGATACAAAGATCGAATCACAAAAGTCCTTAAAAACGGATTTTTTGTCTAGTTTTTTTTTTATGATCGTGTGTTTCATCAGCCTCTAGCTAATTGAGATGTGATTGTTTATTCAAAATTCCAGAAGATTCAAAACTATTTCACCTTTCTTAAATAATGCAAGGTAGTTCTTTTAGTCTTCATAGATGCCAGTCAAAGTATTGCTGGGGACAGCGAGCGGCAATCTTTAATTGAAGAGTAAACTTGCTTTCAAGAGTCCCACTTTTTGCTACACATAGTTGCAAAACTTAATTTCTTTTTTTTTTTTACTTTTTTTTTAGTGTAATTTGCATGGGTATCTTTTTGTTGGTGGAAAACTCTTGCGTGGTGCAAAAGTTTCTGCTGCTTACATATGCGCATACTTTTGTATATACACATTATGTATATGCACACACAACAATTAAGTCCAATTTAAAATACCGAAAACACATGTGGCAAAGAAATATACATGTCCATTTTTTTTTTTTATGACAACAAAGAACAAAAGGAAATACTTGCAACGATTGTTGCTTATAATTTGCAGAAGTGGCTTGATTGCGGCCAGGAAATGCCCCAAGGGCCTTCCACAATCAATGCCAATCAAACATTTTAGATTTTTCATACCTTTTCTACACATGCATGCGGGCATGTGTGTGCATATTTGAGTGTTTGGCCAGAGGCAACACATTCTGGCCGTCAGTGTCAATCCAAATATTTTTTATAAAATCGTTGTTAGCTATGCAAATAGCAAAGTTCAGCTTAGGCATAGTCAATTCAGCTTAAGCCCTAGTAAGCCCTACTAAATATAGTTGAAACAATTTGAGCCTTTGGTTAAGTGTTGCGAGCATCTCAAAACAAAGCGGACAGAAGAAACCTAGCCAATATTTATGGCAATCTAGACTTGCTTGCTTTAGAATTTTGCTAAGAAACTTTAGCCGATAATTTATTAGCACATTTATACATGGGACTCGAATACAGATCCTAGTTATTCAGCTAAGTGAATTACATAACTTATCTACCGGGGCTATTATAAGTACTTATAAGGATATAAGGCGTTGTACACTAACTTTTAAATAGAACTGTGCTTACAAAGCCGTATCTTTTTGTTGTTCATTTGCCTGACTTACAGGGTTCTAGTTAGGCCGGTGACTCATATACTGGAAACTATTTTATAGGACTAACTTAACATTATCAAAAGAGAAATATTCTTATATTTCATTAGACCTATGTGTATTCAGTCAGCTGTATTATTGACAGTACACGTTTGGGGCATTGATATATTGACCGACTTATGAACAATTGAAGGCCCTACAATTGAAGACCTGCGAGTGCAATACAAACCCCCTAAACCGGTTTCTTTTGATGAGCGGATCAAAAGCTGGATTGTGGATTGTGACGTGTGACCATTGTGAAACCAATGTGAGTAGCGCTCTGCGCGCTTTCATTGTAGGTTCACGATTAGCTCTTTGGATTATCAGATTGGAGCGCGAGAATTAACACGCTCAAAAGCTTTTACTCTAAAGCTCATCGCTGGGCATTTCTATGAGTGCGTCCAATGTATCTGATTGGCTCAAAGCTTTTAGCGGTAGTCTTTAATGAAATTCGCTCGCGTGCACAGCTCTTGAGTCGCCGATTGGATCTGGCTGCAATACGGGCTTACAAGTTTGTCTGGCTACCATAGGAGATCTTGAAAAAAGTAAAGCGCTAATCAACTGTTGTGGGGCTTTTTGACCAAAAGTCAAGGTTATCAAAACTGCACAAGTCAAGGTTGGTAAGAGTTTCTACATTTTTGGCAAAAATAGTCGCTTTTGGGAAATGCCCCAAGTCGCTTCGATTTCATTTGACGTCATTGTTTAGTTAGAATTTCCAGCTGAATTCAGTTGTATTCAGTATTGCTACTCTTCTCGAGTTTGTTTTTGAGCGTTTATTTATTAAATAATTCAACAGGTACGAGTAAAGAATGAAAACTTGCTCTCAATTAAGTTGGTTTTTTCCCCCTATTTATAGTGAGATTATAAACGAGTCAAACATGATTCGCAGGTTTTCATTAGAAATGTTCAGCTTCTAATCATTAATTAATTAACCCATTTACTTTTTGTGATTGTTTGTTTTGTGCTCAAATTTGTTTAGTATTCTTTAATCATCAACTATTTATTAGGCAGTTGCGTCTACCTTATCTGGTCCACTCTGAAGAAAGTTTTTGGTGCCATGATCTTTTAAGTAAAAATGTGATTAAGAATATATTTTTTTGTGAAACAGAATGGGACTACATAATCTAGCTTGGGCCACAATAGCCATTGTGTGCATCTCCTGTGTGTGTGCCGCTCCACAGCAAGCGACAAATGTGGAAAAAAATATTCAGGAAATATTCAATACAAATCCCGGTGTACCGAATCAGCCGGCACGCGGTGGCTTTGCGGAAGTGGTGACACCCGTGCCCGTGGATCCATCGAGTCCACTGATTGATTTTACCTCCATCAGTGGCAAGACGGCAGATTGTAACTGCGTGCCTTACTATATGTGCGATCCATCGACGAACAGCATTACGGAAGATGGTTCATTTGATGGCTTTGGAGTCATTGACATTCGCTTTGGCGATGATGATCCTGTTTGTCCCTCATCGGTGGACGTTTGCTGTGCCGGCAATCGCACACGGCAAGAGGTTCTGAACCCAACGCCTTTGGAAAAGCGACCAAACCAGCCGCGAGGCTGTGGAATTCGCAATGTCGGTGGACTGGATTTCACACTGTCTGGTGCCACGCAAAACGAAGCCGGTTTCGGCGAGTTCCCCTGGACTGTGGCTCTTCTGCATGCCAACAATTTCAGCTACTTCTGTGGTGGCTCACTCATCCACCCACAAGTGGTGCTCACGGCAGTGCACTGTTTACTCGCTCATGCGCCGGGCACATTCCTAGTCCGAGCTGGCGAATGGGATGCACAAACTACCAAGGAGCGTCTACCTTACCAGGAGCAAACGGCACAGCGTATCATTTTGCATCCGCAATACAAGGTCAGGAACGTTGCCAATGACTTTGCGCTCGTTATCCTTTCACAGCAGTTCACATTAGACGATCACATCAATGTGGTTTGTCTACCTGCCCAGAGCGCGGCCGCTGCAGCCGGTACCACTTGCTTCTCTACCGGCTGGGGTAAGGACGTCTTTGGAGCCGCTGGCAAGTACAGCGTTATTATGAAACGTGTACCGCTGCCCGTCGTCGATTTCAGCAGCTGTCAATCACAGCTGCGTAATACGCGACTCGGGCCCAAATTCGCCTTGGATCGTTCGTTCATGTGCGCCGGCGGTCAACGGGGTGTCGACACCTGTCAAGGTGATGGTGGTGCGCCGCTTGCGTGCCCAATCGGATTGCCATCCGAGAATCGCTATCAACAAAGCGGCATCGTGGCCTGGGGTATTGGATGCAACGATGCAGTGCCCGCGGCCTACGCCAACGTTGCCTTTGCTCGTGATTGGATCGATCAGCAAATGCTGGCCAATGGCTTCGGCACGACTACATATACAGCCTAACATGCTTGGGATAGTAACAAAGTCAACTTAAATAATAATAAAAATGTTAGAAATCTACAATTCTGACCTTAAAGTAAAACGTAAGGCAAGTATTCGGTTTGAAGCACTTTTGTGAACATTTCTCAAAACTTTAATGTGAAATGACAAAGCATTTGGCTTTAATTAAGAACTCTGACGGCGGCAAATTATGTTAAAGATGCAAAGAAATGCGTCCTTAGACCGAAATGGTGTCAAAATTCTTCTCACCTCAAACAAGCCCACAAAGTGTTGCAATTATATTTGTCATGCATGCACAGCATCTGCGGGTAGTCAGAAGAGCAGAGCAGAGCACAAACACACCCACATAGACACACACACACACACACACACACTCGTATCTAAAGCAAAGGACTGCAAAGCGCCGGAGATGGTTGCACCTGCGTTTGAATTGCAGCTTCTGGATGCCTGGTACAGCTGCCATGCCATGCCAAGCCGAGTCTCATTTCAGTTGTAACCGTCCCCGAGCTCGCTGCTCGTTAACCGTGCACTGTGCGAAGTATAAGGTGACTGAGTCACTGTAACTGTAACATAACATGTGCTTAACCCAAAAGCAGACGCACCCTATCACCAAGCGGTACATGCCACCCACCAGCCACCACCCACTAGCCACCCGGCACCCAACTAGCAACCAGCAACCAGCAGCCGCCAACAACCACGCAACATCCGACACCCCCTCCAACGACATGTTACAGCCTAATTGCAGTTTTTCAAATGTTGCAGTTGCTTCCAAAAAAATTAGGGTCATGGAATTTTAAAGGCGCCTTTGCTATTGGAGTAGCTAGGGCTTAAAGGGCCACAAGCGCGCATTGGCCGTGGTTGGTTGGTGCCGGATGCATTGAAAGCCAGGCAGCATATTTTATGTTATAGGAATGTCCGCTCCAGGGAAGCACTTGAACGTTAGCTTAAATGAAATTCCCATTATCGCTGTACAGAATGCAGTGAAACAGAACGCTCTCAGCTGTATGCCGGACAAGCATTAAAATTAAAGCGTTTATTACCATCTTAAGAAAATGAAATTAGCTGCTAGCTAAATCGCATCGAATTGGCAGTTTTTAACGTATATTTTAATATGCGATTGCACATCGCCGCTTTCAGTCAAGTGTCAGTCGGTGTTGGCTTTAATGAGCTACTCCTTGAGGCTTAAGGGCTTAGGCAGTAAATTGTTAAGCATTGACGACTCAAAACCCACTTGAATCCGGAACAGAAATGATTGGCATAACGACGCTCAACCATCTGCGGCAATAATAAGTTAAAGAGCATTTACCAGCAGACACGCCCGGCAATGCCCATCTTCACAGTCACCACTTACCCATAACAACATTACCCAATCCTCTGGCGGGGCTGGTGCTGGCGCTGGCATGACTCAGGCAACGGCAAAAGTTTTAGCATAGGGCCATCACGGGCTGCATAAATTCCATAAGGACACCGTCAACCTTTTGCCGCCCACTCTACCGCACGCCCTCTCACAGCCTATGCGTCGATGCCGGTGCTTAGGCGTCGTAAAATAGTTGAAATATTTGAAGAACTTTTTCTGACTTAATGAGCGCTTAAATGGCTTGCATATATGCAATTGTTAGTTCCTGCTTTTCAACTCAGTTTTCAAAGCCTCTTTTAATACCTATAGATATTAATTGCTCTCAATCAATTTAAGGATACAAATCAGGTAAATTGTGGTTTCCTTACTAATCGGTTTTAATTTGAAGAAAAAAGCTAAGGATTTTTCGGAGTTTTTATGCACATGTAGAGGGTATTACAAGCTTGTCATGCAGCATGAATATTCTTGAGCAGCATCAACAGGCGAGTTGATATGACTATGTCCGTCTGTCCGTCTTCTTCTTTCTTTGCAGACTAGCCTCTTAGTTAAGAGCTTCAGGCTTGGTATATGTCATATTTTCATCAAACTCTGCACTGACGAGATTCACTAGTCTCACATACCTGCAAGGCCGTAAGACAAATGTCTTCAAGGGTATTAAGTGTTTGGCATGTCAAGATTGCCTTACTTTCTGGTGCATTTTTATATTTTAAAAGCATATAAGTACTTTTGGCTTTTATGAACTTATTTGAATGTTTTGAACAAATTTAATGGGAAAAAGGCAATAGTTTCGCCTAGAACTCCGACTTACAAATTAAATAAACGAAACTTTTCGGGCGAACTAACACAAATTGGAAGCAAAAACTGATGGCATCGTGGACTGATTGGCGTACAGGAGCTGAACAGAAAAGCGGACAAGCTGCCGTGTACAAATACGTGAAAGAAAAGATGAAATTCTCGTTGCAGGAAAATGTTCCATTAATTTTTACATACAATGACCTGAATCAGCGTTTTTGGTGCTTCGCCTCCTTGCCCTGCTGGGACAACGTCGTGGGCGTGAACCGGGACAGTGACTTCACCAATTACTGTGGGCTGAGCATGCAGACGTGAGTGCGGCTAACGCTTGGTTCCCAATGAATCCGGGCTCAGGTGGGAGTTTGCGCATTCGCCATTGCCATTGCAGCACAGCATGCAATGTGTTGGCGCTGAAGCTGAAAAGCGTCGCTTGGAACGTGCAGAGAATCTAAAACAATTTGTAAAAAAGGGATGTGGATAGCAACAGGAACGTGCAGGACGCTTGAAATTAAATACATTATAACACACCGATGATGATATACCCTTAACAGGTCTATTAGATAAAGCAGTCATCAAGCTTGAGTCTCGAGTTCATGAATTTCCTGCTTATGCCTGTCCCTCAAGTATGTGGAAGTCACATCGATCGGGCTTATTCTTGGGTGCGTCTAGCTTCATCAAATTGAATTCGTAACATTTGAAATACGTCATGTCACAAACATCCTGAGTCAGTTAATATGCACTTTGCTGGACTTTACATGAATAAGCCGGCCTGTCAGTCGCTTACAATTTTGCTGGCCTTTCATTTGCAGCAGCAGCAGACTAAAACAAGGCGAAACCAACTAAATTACTTATATATATATTTATAGGGTTGTAGTTAGCAGTGGCCGACCAAGCAGCAGAGGTCAAGGGTCGGGCAATATAATGATGCCTTCAACTCCACACGTTACAGTATTTTTTTAAACAGATTTTATTATAGAATTCGTTGCAAGCAGGTTAAAAGCAGTCTCTGTACAGTCCCTTCTGTTGGTGCTGATGTCTGAAAAATAGTACAGAAAATGTTTATTAATAATATAAAACAGAGTGCAGAACTGTTATTAACAAACTTACAGAAAGAGCTAAAAGTTTCACTCTACTGTAAGAAATGATACACATTATGAAGTACTGTAATTAGTAGAGCCTGTAAGAACTCTCATATTCCAGTATGTAAACAACCGACAAATATTGACACGAGTGCACAAACGTGTGTGTGTTCGAAAAAGCAACTTAAAAACCAAATGCTTTAACACATTTTTGGTGTTTCGTTTACTGATTTAACGGAACGAGAAGTATTTCGGCAAATCATTGTAAATGACCAATGGCTGGTAGCAGCCAGAGCGCTGTGTGCGCCTGGGATGAGCCGCAAATATACTTACTTGCATATATATTTGCAGGAGCGTAGTTGCGAATTTTCATAGTCTATTTCCCTTTAGGGAAATTGGTCAGAAAAAAAAAAAAAAAATGTAAATAACTGAAAAATGCTCACAGAAAAACAATATTTTTTCGTGGCGCATTTTCGACATTGCCGCGAAAGCTTCAAAAAATAAAAAAAAACCACTGTCATTAGCTTCATATGAAGCAAGAGTATTTTTTTTGCTGTTGATGGTAATATTTATTAAATACTATATATTTTATTCTTATTCAACATTGAACATTGTGCCGAACAAAGCCACATCCGTATGAAATCAATACGCTTTGGAAGCAATAATAAATTCAATTGTTTATGCCCCTACAACATGTCCTTGCTACGCCACTGAGCGTGTGAATATGAATGTGTGTACATATGTATATAGAAAGATATGCATACATATATATATATATATATATATACATATAGATATATAGTAAAAGTTGTTGTTGCCGATGCAGCTGCTGTTGCTGGCCATTTCAACATTGTTGTATGGTTTTGGCAGCATTTAAAAAGCGAATTCATTAAATTGTTGCACAAAACTGGCATACGCCCCGTTGTCAGTAAAACAAACAGAAATCAGCGAATATATATTATTATGTATGGTACAGTGATTGTCTGCATACACAAATGTTCAAATGTAACACAACGAAAGAAAAATAAATACAAAAATAACATTTCTAGCATTTAAACATAAATTGCTTGTAATTTAAGAGACATGTTTATAAATATTTCAATGTTTTTCAATTTTGCTTTATTATCATCATCTTGGGTCTTGTTGTTTTGGCGATGGCATTTCATTGGGTGTAATATTGTTTCCCACTCATTTGCAGAATGAATTTATTGCAAAGTGCTTGTGGCTATTTAACGTTTTTAATTGAAAAACTTTTGTTTTTGTTGTTGACGCCGGTGCCAGGCTTCCTAGGACTACTGCCTAGCTTCTTCTGCTGATTCACAGCAACGGCCAAGACAGGTTGGTCACCGCTGGTTGTGGGGCCGCCTAAGTTGCTGCGGCTGTCGGCGACAACTACTTGCAGCCACTTATCATAATTAGCCCTGTGCTAGTGGTATAAATGGTGAAGTTTTGCCTCAATATACTAACCAGAGGTGCCCACTTGCGCCACAGAGCCATTAACAACTTATTGCCAATAGCTGGTTGGGTGGCTGGCAAAAGCGTCATTATCCCTAACTTTGCTGCTGCCGATGCCAACAAAGAAAGTGCTTGTGAATACATTTTCATAACGAGAGCAGTCAGTCACTCGGTCTACTTATTGTTTGTACGAGCGGCTTCATCATTATGGACAGAAGTAATCAATTGCAGTCCATTAGACTCTGCACTCGGCTGCAGACAAAGAAGAGACAAAACGGACTTCTATTTTGCGTGACTATTCGGCATGGAGAATGTGTCTGTGTCTTTTAACGTTCTTCTATTGCCGTTAATAATAGAAAAAAAAAAGAATTCCTCTTTATCCCAAAAGGGTGTTAGTTAGCTAG